ACCCTGCCATGCCGGTACTTTCCTGCAGCGGTGCAGGGCATGGTCCTTGGTGCTGCGCTTGACTCGAATGTCATGTCGTACCCTGTGCTCATCATTACGGAGGCGCAGGGTGTACTCGTCGGGCGAGGCGGAGCCGGCCCTCGGCCGTCGGGCGAGGCGAAGCCTAGCCCTCGGGGGTCGGACGAGGCGGAGCCAGCCCCTCGGGGGTCGGGCGAGGCGGAGCCAGCCCATCGGGGTTGGGCGAGGTGGAACCAGTCTTCCGTCGTTTGGCCATAAAACGCAGTAGTGTTTCCGTCTGATCGGAAGTGTCAACGTTTGATGGTCATTGGTTCCACCTCATTTGGTACCCCGGTATTAGGTCCCCCGACATACATATATTTATACCTAGTATGAGGGAAAATACACTCCTCTTTCATCATTTTGGTTTGTATGGGCTTGTTCGGCTGGTATTAAAGCCAGCTGAAACTGATTTACTGTGGCTGAAACTGATTTACTTTTAAAGAAAAATACTGCCGATAAGTTCAAACGAGCATGCCCTGAGGGTCTCACCTTCTTGCTTTGGGTTTGGAGCCGTAAAACTTTCATTAACGCCACAACACTCATGGTCTAGTCGCCTGACCCTATTCATGTCGTGGCACGCGTGTGAACGTGTGGCTCACCATCCACCCTTTCTCAGAATCACAATAAATGCGCACAATAGCCAAGCAAAAAAAAATAGGGATCCCGTCATTAGGTTTCATACTTTGGTTTCATACTGTTTCTTTGGTTCCACGTAGGACAAACTGGAGCCAGCAGACACAGTTGCAAATTCACACGCACACAGGAATAGAGACCTAGGGTGTTGTATGTCCTGAAGATCCAAACACAACACATCAGTTGCGAAGACCTACTAACTCCACACCATTTGGACTGCAGTTTGATGCTGGCTTCGGAAGCTGCATGCAACACCACCACAGAAAACTCTCTCTCTCTCTCCCCCCTTATAAATTGTAGGGCATGCGGTCACCTTGAATTTGATGCTCACAACTGATCACAGGCAGCAACGAACTGCACACAAACTAGATATATATACATATATACATAAATATATACGCCGTCTGATCTTGCTTGTTTTCTGCTTAATTTGTATATATGTACAGTACTTTACTTCACCCACCTTTTCCTTCTCCTCCGTGGAGCACCTTCTCCTTTCAGCTAGCTTGGCCGGCGGCAGCAGCTGGAAACGGCCGGCGAGGCCGCCGCCGTGGCAATTTCATCCGCCCTGCGGCGGCGGTTTCCAACACTCCGCTGAGTGAAGATTTTGACCTCCAGGTATAGCTTAGCAAGCCATATATATCCATTACTTTTCATGATTATATATATATATATATATATATATATATATATATATATATATATATATATATATATATATTTCTCAATGAAACGTAACCTCTAATGCTCACTACTCTCCATGAAACATACACCTGTAGGAGGGCCTGACGGAAGTACAAAAGATTCTCCATCAACGTCAGAAGGACGACCGGGAGATGATGGTCACCATCGATAACCTCAAGCGCCTCTGCGTCGACCACTACTTTGAGGAAGAGATCGAGAGCGTCAGCCTGTTCGCTTGCTCGTAAACGATCGTAAATTTTCAGTCGGGAACAGTGTTTTTCTCTCACACCAAACCAGCCAGCAGTAAATAATCCACGATACGATACGGCCTCCCGAACAGGCTGATGATGAGTGCTTGCATGGATCTCCTCCACAGAGATGATCTCTTCGATGCAACCCTTGCTTTCAGGCTCATGAGAGAGGCCGGCCATGATGTCTCAGCATGTCAGTGGATATATACTTACATGTAGAGAGAATCGTATTGCTAGCTAGTACTCTCAAACATATATATACGATGTTATATCATTTTGGAAATTAGAAAGGATACATATGTCCATATGTCCAAAGTATAAATGGTTTCTACCATCAATCGATGTGCGGCAGGTGATGTTCTATGGAGGTTCACCGGCAGCGACGGCGAGTTCAAGCTTCCTCTTAGCAAGGACATCAGAGGGCTCCTGAGTCTGCATGACATGTCTCACCTGGATATTGGAGGAGAGGTGTTGCTGTACAAGGCAAAAGAGTTCTCAAGCAAGCACTTTGCATCTGCCATTAGGTACCTGGAACCAAGCCTTGCAGAGTATGTGAGGCAGTCCTTGGACCACCCTTACCACCTGAGCCTGATGCAGTACAAAGCCAGGCATCACCTCAGCTACCTGCAGAGCCTGCCGACCAGAGACACTGCAGTGGAGAGATTAGCAGCTGCAGAGTTTCAGCAAAACAAAATGCTGCATCAGAAAGAAATGCAAGAGATTAAAAGGTATGTAAATGAGTGCCCTATTTCTAGTTAATCACAGGCATGTATGCTTTTGTTCTAGACCAACTATGTAAAAGTGTTTAGAAAATGATATTCTACCTTTGTTTATCTAAGAGAAATTAAAGTGGTGATATGCTTTTCATTAATCATAATTGTGAAAGATTTTGTTTATGTGATGTAGATGGTGGATGGACCTAGGATTAACTCAACAAATACCAGTGGCGAGAGACCAGGTGCTGAAATGGTACATGTGGTCCATGACAGCCCTCCAAGGATGTTCCTTCTCCAGATACCGAGTTGAGATCACAAAAATAATCTCGCTTATCTATGTTGTGGATGACATATTTGACCTTATTGGCACACTAGAGGAGCTCTCACTCTTCACTAAGGCAATCAAAATGTAAGCTTAGAACAATAGTCTCAAACTTGCATAGTAAATTAAATGATATAAAGTAGTTGTCAAGTACACTTGCATATGCACATTTTTTTAGATTTTGGTATTAATAGTTGTTGGCACATTGTAACTGATTTACATAATGATAAAATGCAATTGTAGGTGGAATACTGCAGCTGCTAATTCACTGCCTAGTTGCATGAGATCATGCTTCATAGCTCTTTACACCATTACGAATGAGATCGCAGATATGGCTGAAAAGGAGCATGGACTGAGCCTTGTCAATCATCTCAAGAAAGCAGTATGTTACCAAATTGCCTTTTCTTATACATCTCAAATGGATCTTCACAAACAGTAATCGATTTAAAAAACACTGTACCTCCATCTAGGAATGATGTCCTATATTGCTGAAATTTCAACTTCATTGGTTAAAAACTTGTGCATTTCTAGAAAAAATTGGTTAAAAACTTGCTATATTTTTTCACAATGAAACTTATTGCAACTATGATAATTAGACCACACTTAATAACAATCACTAACATAGGAAACCTTTTCCACCATTCTATGCAGTGGGTAGTGTTGTTTGATGGATTCATGGTTGAGGCAAAATGGTTAGCAACAGATCAGGTTCCTACTGCAGAGGACTACCTAAGAAATGGTGTTGTCACTTCAGGAGTGCCACTTGCATTTGTACACCTACTTGTGCTGCTAGGGTATGATCAAAGTATTGAAGCACTCATTGACGACATTCCTTCTGTCATCTCTTGCCCAGCCAAGATTCTGCGACTTTGGGATGACATGGGCAGCGCCGAGGTTAGCTGAATATACAGTTCTTAAATGTTTTTGCCATTTCCATATTAAGATTTCCAAACCCAATATTTCTGTAAATTTAGTAGAAAACACTCGAACAGTCAACAATCGTTTGCAGGATGAAGCACAGGAAGGATTTGATGGGTCATACAGGGACTTCTACCTCATGGAGAACCCTAGATGTACCCCCAACGATGTTGAAGCATATATGCGTAGCTTGATTGCAAGAGAGTGGGAGGAGCTCAACAGGGAGTGTTTCTGTAGGAGGACCTTCTCCTCCAGCTTCACGCGGATCTGCTTGAATGCTGCAAGGATGATCAGTGTCATGTACTTGTACGACAAGGAAAAGAGGCTCCTTGTCCTTGAAGACTATTCGAGGATGCTGCTACTTTGAAGCTATTTTCCATGAAAATCCTTGTTTCATGATGTCTCTCTTTATTAGTTGACACCAGCATACAAATGATGCTTTGTAAATATATTAAATATCCAGAAATAAAAAAAAATTAATGAGCAAGATGATCAGCAGAGAAGGCCTTATTGACAGTTGTGACGTGCAGAATGAGAAGTGAATAGGCATTGGACCAATGCCGAGGAATGTATGCAAAGCGTCAATTACTTTTGAATCATGAAGAATAGTTAGTTGAATCTACAAGCTTGAATTATTATGCAAAGAAATCGTTCAAATCACAAGCTTAAGATTGTGTAGCTAGCCCTTGTGAAGGGATATCGAGAAGAAAGGCATACGAAGAAAATTAACACAAGTGGTTTCAGTAGATTTATGTGATTGCCAAGCAGCAGCTTCTTTTGCCAACGGTTTTCGGCTTTTCACAGCATGTGTCATTTAAAATCAAACAGATGTTTGAATTTTTAATTTTATGCTTTGAAGTCGTAGCTACTATTCATCCTTTGGTTCTTTCTTCTTTGGTTTCATACTGGTTCTTTGGTTTCATACAGAAGAGAGCAGACTCTGTCCGCTCATGCATTGGATCAGACGCTTTTCTTGTACATGCTCGGCCAGCATTTGTAATCTGAGAATAACTGTAACCATATCCATATCCATTTATCTTAATTTCATCTCAAACCTTATGCTGGCCAAGAAAGTTAAGACTACGTTGCAACTGTTATGATCATCTCACCGGATTCTGTGTCGGTGTACATGCTGACTTGGAATATCAGTCAGCCCAACTTAACATTCTCAATTGAAAACGCACGTTGTCCAGATTTGGAAACTTCAGGCACCACAGATATTATACAAGCAACCATACCAGACTCCTTGCTCGTTCGAAATGTCTAGGTAAATTTGATACTACCAGTATTACAGAAAATTTTGGTTCCACTTCCCAGTGCTAACAGGGATTCATGCCTTGATTGTTGCAACTAAAGCCTTTTGACATCACAGCAGTTACATCCGGTGCAGTCGCTGAAATTCATTGTGGGCACTGTCTACATGATTGCAACGCTCAAGTAATCACCAATCTGCAGAACAAGGCAGCACAGATAAATATTTTGTGCACTGACCAAAAACGTAATCCGAAGTAGCACAATACGGCATTCGTACATACCTGGAATCCGAGCTCTGCAAGAGTTTTGGCATCATCACCTCTTCCATGACCATACGCGAAGGTCGAACCCACCTTCAAACGTTCAACAAGACAAGTTATGAAAGGGCAACAGCCAACAATGCACAAAGTAATGGGCAGCATTTCAGAAATGTACGCAAGTAGGACAGTAGACGGCCATTTGAATGAACGAACAGAGTAATGGGCAGCATTTCAGAAAAAGTTCATGACCATCATGATGTTAACAGTAAACTTGCTTTAACAGACAATGGATAGGGCCTCGAGTTTTGTTAATGCATTCAGCTCATGCCATGTGTTAGGTGCGTCAACCTAAGAACACAGTTAAGACAACATAGTTCAACATGCTACTAATGTAATAGAGGTTGTGAAGAACTAAAGTAGCAAATAATAGTTCAACAGCACATGACCCAAATAATTGTTTCATGGCAAAAGTAGCAAATAGTTCACATGCTACTAATTAAGACAACATAGTTAAGAGAAACAAGCGATAGATTCAACGGGCCTAAGGTCATAATGATAAGCCAACACATCAGCATTACACCTAGGGGGGCTTAATATTTTAGCATTTTAACTGCATAAGCTCATTTTACATCAGAATTTTGAATATATTTTTTTAAAAAAAGTGGCAATTGTACCTGCATCTAGACTAATGTAAAAAGAACTTTCAGCTATGTGTGCTTTGAGAAATAATGTTTTAAATATTAGTTGCAGTACTGTTCCTAATAATCATGCAAATTCTGAGTTGTCATGTGTAGGAGACGACTGGGAACTGTGTGATGTGGCAGCCCCAGAAAGTGGAAGGTCTCCTCTATTTCAAACAGAAAATACAGAAGAGTGGGAAGGCGTTGATTCTAAGGGAGATGCATCATGAGCGCTGTGCACAAAGAATTAACAAAAAACATAGTTTCTAACTTCACAGGGAAACAAGTCTGCAACAAGTACCACAAGCTCAAGGGAGAATGGAAGGTAATTGTAGATGCAAAGTCTGCAAGTGGAATAGAGGTTGCGAAATAATCCATGATGAAATAGAGGTTGTGAAGACAAAATCTAAGTATGTCTGTCTAAAATGTTTCGTTAGATACAGGTTTTTAATTACACACTGGTGACTAATAAGTAGTAATGACATAATATTATATGAATGGCAACAATAGAGCCAAGTGCAACAATGCTCCAATTGCCTTCTATGATGAGATGAAGTTTATCTTCACAGGAAAACAAGCTATTAGAGAATTTAGTATGCTTCTGTTATGACCGGCATCTCTTACACGCGACAAAGGAGCTCAGGTGGCTAGCAGGAGGACGCAAGGCTACGTGCGTACGCTGAGTTGGGCTCCAGGCCCAAATTATCATTATATACTATTATTAGAAATATTGGTATTGTTAGGGAGTTATTTCTATTTTTAGTAGAGAAAAGAGATATAAATATTCTTGTAAGACTCTTTTGAGAATTTAAGCAGAAAACATATTGTTTTCTCGGCTTCCCAAGGGAGCCGGGAGTTTCACCGTAACCCCGCCCTAACTCGCGTACGCAAGCAGCCACAGCGCCGTCTTCCTCGCGTCCTCAAGCCTCGTCCAGCAATCACACACACATACAACCTTCGTTCCATCCCAGGGAGAGCTAGGCATCATAGCAGCTTCAAGCACCTTTTCACAGCCCACCATGACGGGATGATGATTCCAATGGCAATGGGAGTAAGAGTCAAGAACAAGTAGATGTCAATGATCCTTCTCAGCACTATGATTCTGATACTATACCAGGTAGTTCTATGGGGAAGGCTGAAGATTACTAGAAGAACAAAAAGAATGATTATGCCATGGTTCAAGACGTCACTGGTGCTACGAACAAGTCTGAGTCTATGCGCTTCACTCACGTCACTGACCCAAATAAGAGAATTTACAGGATCATCGATACATGGAGTATCTTTTGCTAGTGCGCCTTGATTTGCTGACTTATCTTGCTGAAAATGTTAGGATTGCTAGCATTGAGGGGCAGCCGGAGGAAAGCATCAAATAGTGGGTGGCACGGTAGGTGATGGATCACTATCCTATGGATTAAATTAAACTCTTTATATAACTTTGGTTAATGCTCATGGTAGTGACTGACTAGTTTACCTTCGCAAAACAAAACAAAAAGTTAGCTTTTAAAAGTATGGAAGCACTATGACATACTGTGTATTTTGGCACTTTGAAATTAAAGATGCACGGTATACATTTTGGCCATATGGACTATATAGGGCATAATGTATACAAGTCATAATATGCATTTTGGACGTATGAAACAATATATGGCACGGTGTATTTTGGGTGTATGACATGTGGAAGATTGTGTAGATGGTAATACTTGTGATGGCTCTCTTGTCTTGTATTGTATATATGACTTGGTATGGTACGTGTTCTGCAAATTTTCAAGCAGTTTGTGTTCATTTACATGGATGGAGGCAAATCTCACCTATAAGGAAATTTGGTGAGTGTATCTCCATGAGCAAGAGTACCAAGCAGTTAAACCAAAAAGCTTGCCAGCAAAACCATGTTTTTAACTAGGAAACCAAACAGAACCTAGTAACCTTGCCCACACAGGGAAACGAACAAAGCATCCATCTTGCCTGGCAAGGCTAGTTTGCTCAGCGAAGTAAGGTGAGGTGGAGGCCAAAATTCTTACGGTCTTACCTGTCTGACAACAAAACGACCATTCTTGTCTGGGTATACAAATGCAAAAGAAAGCCTCGCGTTCCTTTTCCTTGCTGGAAGAGCAACCTCTTTCACCTGAAAAAACAATCATAATGCACTGATAAGATTTAACATGTTATTGACATGCACGCTCAGGCCCCACTAGCCATTGCTCAAACCCAAAGGTATGTTATTATGAGACACAAAATCCGACTTTCCTCAAGGTATAAATAAACATCTTTTTTTTCCCCCTTAAAGTGGCACATGCAAGTAAGTCTGTAGAAAGGACTTACAAGATCAGTGAGCTCGCGGAGAGTGGCATCCTTCCATGTGTAAATCTGAACTTCATCCTTTGGTTCCTTCCCTCTCACAGCAAACTCTTCATTTTGATGGTGACCAGCAACCTGAAAACAGTAACAACGATCAACTTTCTGCAGTAAATGGTGTTTTATTATCAAAATCTACTGCAAGACTTGTAAGATAAGATGTGCACAATATATGTAGCACTCTTAATGGTACATCTGTGCAAATCACCCACATAAAAAGTATTCCCAGCTTCTAGATTCTAATGTATCATGAGATTACTACTGTGCTTTCTAAGGGATTAGGAATGACAAGTGGCCCACCTAGAATCTAAATAGGCAAAACAATTTCCATTGAAGAGCTCCCACTGACCCAGTAAACCTTCAGGCCAGCTAAATAAGAACTGACACTAGAAATGTGCTAACAGAACACCAAAAGCACAAATCCTGGAGCAGTGGATGGCTAAGATGTGTTACTACACTCAACAACTCTATAAATAATTAAATATGAAGTGCAGGCCTGTCAATAAGATAAACATTTTATCCCTTGATTTAAGCATGTCAACTTTTTCCAGAATCATCCCAAAACAGGTAGACCGGATTATGTTTGTTCCCCGCTATGACAGTAACTAACTAGGGCCTTGTGCTTTTTAACTAAAACATCGCTGGTTATTCATTGGTTCCACCATCAAATAACTTTTTCCAGAATCATTCCAGAACAGGTAGACCAGATTATGTTTCTTCCCCTTTATGAAACTAATTAAGGCAGAATAGCCATATTGGTCCCTGAACTATTACTCAAGGCTCACTTTCATCCCCAAACTGTCAAAAAGGCCGTATTAGTCCTCGAACTCTACTTTTAGGCTCAATTTCATCCCAGAACTATGAAGATGATCGTTTCAGTCCTCAAACTTTGCATTTTGGGCTCAACTTGATCCGTAAATTATCAAAATGTATTTCAGACTTTAAACTTTTATTTTTCAACTGAACTTTGTCTATCGTCCTACGTGGAATGTTGCACCTGTTCATCTCCAACACCACCAGCGATTGGAGATAGAACATATAATATTCATAAAAAACTCTTTAGTGGCCATTAATAATCCCAAGCTGTTATGTTACCTTATAATGGTACCGTTTACATATATATCCGATTAAATGATTTTTGTGGGAGCAATTACAGTTGCTTGGAACGCTATTTATTCCCTAAGAATACATGGATATATACTGAAATAATAGCAAATCTATAATTTTTTCCTTAGCTACTTCTAGAGTTAGGCTCAACTAAAAATAATTAGTGTATAAAATAATATTTTTTATCCATAAGCTAAAAATAGTTCATATTTAAGAATATTTATATATATATGCATCTTAGAATATGAATATAAATGTTGAAAATCTGCTATCATATTCGCTAGCTGGGACGACACTAGGGACAATAGTACCTAACAATAACCGTCCATCTCAAAACGTGGGTGGTGCTGGACCTATAACCCTATATTATTATAGTTGAGCCAAAATGCATTTTGTAATTCATGGATGAAATTGTGCCTAAAATATAAAGTTTTATTTATAGACAAAGTTGAGTTGAAGATAAAGTTTAAAGACCAAAATGCACTTTGATAGTTTATGGATGAAATTGAGTCCAAAATGCAAAGTTTGAGGACTGAAACGATCATCTTCATAGTTCTAGGATGAAAGTGAGAACAAAAGTAGAGTTTGAGGACTAAAATAGCCATTTTGAAACTTCAGGGATGAAAGTGAGCCTCGAGTAATAGTTCAAGGACCAAAACGGCTATTCTGCCACTAATTAACTAAGGTCTGTGTTTCACTAAAACTTCACTGATTATGCAATTTCACAATCAAATAATTATACTGTTAGCTATGCAACCATCTTAAAGCATAGACTTCTAAATAAATTCTAGTGTAAGTAAACTGCATTTAAAAAAAAAACATAGTTTGGTGATGAAAAGCTTTCTGCTGATTCCACCATGCACCATAGGTACAACAAAATCGACTTAAAAGTTGCAGCAGTAACACAAACAAGTGAATCAATACTACAGACTCTCAAGTCCCACTCAACACACTAAAATAAAGTGCTAATCAGCACAGGTAACCAATAAATAAATTCGTAGGGACAGATAAGCATGCTTACCCTTGTGAAAACCCTGAGCAGCAGAGGACAGGTCTGCACACAAAAGAAAATGTTATCAGTAAAATTAGTCAGCATTCACATTCCTCTGGACGCAAGCAAGACCTAACCTACTGGTGCGGAGTTGCATATCTGTGTTCACCTACTTGTGAAATCGCAATCGACCACAAGGGGAATCCCATGAGTTACTAGAACTTAGAAGACTGACACCGGGAGCAAGGGGGGCAGGGGTAAAGCACTGACCTTCTCGCGGTCGATTGGTTCGGGGCGGAGGCGCGCCATCGGCGGCGGCCCGCGGTGCTGCATCGGCGGGCCCGGCCGCGCCGGCCTCATCGGCATATCGCCCATGCCCGCCATGTCCCCTCCTCAGCAACGAGGCTCTGCGAGTTTGAACAGAAGCATACGCATCAAACCAACCCTATTGGTTGCAATTAGACAAGGTTTTGCCAAATCGATCAGTGGGGAACGAGGAGTCGAGTTGACCTGCTCTACAGCCGGGTGGACTTCGACAAGGGAAGGCGCTCGCCGCCGCCGCCGATTCTTCGCGGGGAGAGGTGGAGGTGGGGAGGGGAGGAGCCGACGGCGTGGGTGTGCCTGGAAGAGAGGCGAACAAACCCTAAATTTTGCAGTTTCCTCGCTTGAGATCAACAGGCCTGTTCGGTCGGTATTAAAGCCGGCTTATAAATTGGTCGAAGCTGATTTGTCGTGAAAGAAAAATACTATAGATTTTAGCTGATAAGTCGGCTGATAAGTTAAAACGAACAGGCCTAATGAGAATTGCATAATTGCAATTCGGTCCACTTTAGATACCGTTTTGACGGTTAAACGGCTCGAGTCTACGCTTTCGGTTTTCACACCATTCTTGCCCTCAAATTCAAATATTGTTTGAGAAAACAGTGTTGTCACTGCTTATGCAGCATGTAAACACTACTACTCATCGACATGTATATCGTACAGTTTATATCTAAATGATTGATTACATACGGTCTACAGTCCTACGTGATTTTATACAGGTTCACGTGGCTTACAAATTATGTGATGGACTCATTTGATGATGGGGTGTTTTGGCTCAATCGATGCATCGGACTAACGCATTGAGGCGTGCATACCAGTACACGAAACTTCCATATGAGTGAATATACGCCCATCACACATTTAGGATATATAAGGTACGGGTACTCATAGTAGATTGATGTTTTCTTCTATCATAAATATAAGTTCATCTAGTTTGTTCTAGGTCTACCTTTTCAAATTTTGGCTAATAATATCTATAAAAGTATATTGTCTTAAATTAAAATGAGTATATTTATTGAAAGCATTATTCATGATAAATCTAATAATGTTAGTGTAGTGCTATCAATGTATGCATCATTCGATATCGTGATGACGGTCAAAGCAAAAAAAAAGTCAACTTGGAACAAACTAGATAGGCTTATAGTTGTGATAGAGATAAGGGTATGTTTGGTAGGGATCCAAACTTTCGTGAAACACTTCGAATACGGATTATTCTCTCAGAAAACGTTTTGGATGACAAATTATAATTCCTTTATGAGACCGTTTGGCTAGAAGGCCATATTCTAATTCAAAAGAAAATGTATTTTCACAAAATCGTATAAATGAACTTTTTATGGCGGATAACAACTTAAATACAACCTATATTAGCTTATTGCACATATAAAGGATTAACTAAAAATATGACGTTAAAAGGAAGCATTAGAATCATTGTGAAAACCATGTTTTCACCATCACATTCGTAGGCAATGCATCACAGATCATTCTGAGCATAATTTTTTTCATGCTATTTGGCTCTTCATTCTACCTGTTCTCGTACGAATCTAAAACGATACATGATGCCAAACGCACCTTAAGTATCGTTACAGTCCCTCTAGCTATAGATAATTGATGTTTTAAGGGATGCCTTGTGTCAGTCATTCTAAACTTTCATTGCATGGTAGTTTTTCGAATGGCGAGTTTGGATATCTAAATACCATATGAATAGATTTTTCTTGAAATGTAGTTTCATAAAAACACTATACACTTGTTGAATTTTATAAAAAACTTTTCAGCAAAATATCCTTATATGTTGTGCCTTGGAGATTGTGTCGATATTATATCTTAAATGTCACTTGTGTTTAATTAGAAGGCTTCTTTGAGCAAGTATAAGTATAATGGAGGGTTGTTAGTAGACTTTTATGTTAAGGTGGAGAAGAAAGAGGGGGAGAGAGAAAGGAAGTGGATTGTTAGTTTACACCTAATGCACAAGAAAAAAAAACTTTATGAGAGAAAAGGTACTCCTTCAATTCTAAATTGTAAGTCGTTTTAGCTTTTCTAGGTACATAACTTTTGCTATACACCTAGATATACATTATATCTAGGTACGTAGTAAAATCAATGTATTAAAAAAGACAGAACAACTTACAATTTAAAACAGAGAGAGTAGGTTCATAAGTGAGCCAACTATTATATGTGGCTATATTGTTAGCCTGCTCAGCGGTATAGACGGAGTATTTATGATTTTTTTTATTAATATTTTAATAATAACTCTATTTAGTTTTTTTTTAAGTAACCATTTGATTTAGTGGAGCCCAGAGATCTAGTACAATAAAACCACGTTGACGTGTTATTGTGTATGGCCCGATAAAAGCATGCCAGTGTAGCACGTGATAGCCCTATGGCGCCAACACCAAACCCTCTGGCACATAAGGGGCATGTACAGAGAGGCTACACACCAACCCCTTCCTCTTGCCTATCCCTCTCCCCTTCCCCTTTCCCGTGTCACCGCTGGTAGACGATTTTGATCGACGAAGATGTTAAAGCTAAAAAAATTGATTTTGGATAAACCTAAATAGGTAGGGCTGAATCGAAGTATCATTATACTCCCTCCAACCACAGAAAAAGTGTGTTCCAGAATTGCCTTTGATTCCACCATTACCAACTTTGATTGCATTTACTTCTTTCAAACGGTGAGTTTTAATATCTGAACACCACATGCTTAGATTTGTCTCGAAACGTATTTAATATACGTTTACGGCCCCGTTTGCTTCGCTGAAAAACAAGCTGAAATACTGTTTCGGCTGATTTGTTGTGAGAGAAAAACACTGTTCTGACTGAAAAAAACAAGCTGAAAAGTACGAATTATAAGAGAAGCAAACAAGGACTATATTATTTTGTGTCAAACTAAGCAATGAAATTCTTGATCCATCGGCATACCCAATGACCATTCACACCGATGATCTCAAAAGTACCACTAGTTCAGTATGTGGTATTTACATTCAGATGAGAAACATATTACGACGCTCAACTATAGCTATGAATTCAATTTCAAACAAGTTGATGCAATCTTAGCTTTGTCCTCACAAGAAGAAAGGACAAACGAGTATGCTTGGGTTGCAAGGTGATACCAGGGGAGTGTGTTGTTTCTCAACATAAGCTTTTGGTGGTAGACTTTTATTTTCAGGTGCGTGTCCGTAGAGATAAACAAGCAAGCTAAGATTAAAAGAACAAAGTGGTGGAAACTGAAAGGGAAGACGTCAGAGGTATTCAGGAAAAGGGTTATCAAAGATGACTCTTGGAAGAAAGAAGATGACATAAACAACATGTGGGAGAAGATGGCAACCAATATTCGGAAGGTGACCTCAGAGGTGTGTGGAGTAACCAAAGGAAGTGAAGGCGAGGCTAAAGATACTTGGTGGTGGAACGAGAAAGTCCAAAGGGCTATTGGCCCCGTTCGCTGGTCTGAAACTTGGCTGAAACTGGCTGAAAAACACTGTTCCGGCTGAATTGTTGTGAGAGAAAAACACTGTTCCAGCTGAAAAAAGAAGCCGAACAAGCCATTTTTAAGATAAGCGAACGGGGCCATTATGGAGAAGAAAGAGTGTTATAGACGCTTGTACCATGATAGAAGTATGGACAACATAGAGAAGTACAAGGTGGTAAAGAAGACTGCAAAACGAGCTGTAAGTGTGGCAAAGGGTAGAGCGTACGAGGATATTTACCAACGTTTGAGTACGAAGGAAGGAGAGAAGGACATTTATATGATGGCTAGGGTTCGTGAGAGAAAGACAAGAGACTTCAACCAAGTTAAGTACATCAAGGATGAAATGGAGCATCTCTTGGTGAAGGAGGATGAGATCCGACATCGATGGCAAGAGTTTTTTGACAAATTATTCAATGGTGAGAATACGGACATAACCTTTCAATTGGATGACTCTTTTGATGACACCAATAGACGCTTTGTGCGGAGAATCCAAGAATCTGATGTCAAAGAGGCGTTGAAAATGATGAAAGGAGGTAAGGCGATGGGACAGGATGGTATCACAATCGAGGTGTAGGGATGCCTTGGGGACATAGCTATAGTATGGCTAACCAAGCTGTTCAACCATATTTTTCGATCGAACAAGATGCCTGATGAGTGGAGGAGAAGTATATTGGTACCGATCTACAAGAATAAAGGGGATATTCAAAGTTGTATTAATTACCGGAGAATTAAGTTGATGAGTCATACTATGAAGTTATGGGAGAGAGTTATCGAGCATCATTTGAGAGCAATAACGCGGGTCTCTATGAACCAATTTGATTTCATGCCCGGAAGGTCAACCATGGAAGCCATTTTCTTAATAAGATAAGTTATGGAGCGGTATAGGGAGAAGAAGAAGAACCTACACATGGTTTTTATTGACTTGAAGAAGGCTTATGATAAAATACCAAGGAATGTTATGTGGTGGGCTTTGAACAAACATAAAGTCCCAACGAAGTACGTCGGGCTCATTAAGGATATGTACAACAATGTTGTGACTAGAGTTCGAACAAGTGATAGAGACACGGATGACTTCCTGATTAGGATAGGACTACATCAAGGGTTAGCTTTGAGCCCTTATTTGCTTGCTTTAGTGATGGATGAGGTCACAAGGGATATACAAGGGGATATCTCTTGGTGTATGCTTTTCGCGGACGATGTAGTGCTAGTTGATGAAAGCAGACAGGAGTGAATCAGAAACTAGAGTTATGGCGAGAGACTTTGGAGTCCAAAGGTTTTAGACTTAGTAGAACTAAAACTGAGTATATGAGATGTGACTTCGACACTACTAGTCGGGAGGAGGAAGATATTAGTTTGAAAGGTCAAGTAGTGCCTAGGAAGGACACCTTTCGATATTTAGGATCAATGCTACAGAGAGACGGGGATATTGATGAAGATGTTAGCCATAGAATCAAAGCAGGGTGGATGAAGTGGCGTCAAGCATCTGGTGTCCTATGTGACAAAAGGGTATCACAAAAGCTAAAAAGTAAGTTTTATAGGACGACGATTAGACCTCCTATGTTGTATGGTGTAGAATGTTGGCCTACGAAAAGACGACATGTTCAACAGATAAGTGTCACGGAAATGTGTATGTTGCGTTGGATTTGTGGTCATACAAGAAGGGATCGAGTTCGGAACGATAATATACGGGATAGATTAGGGGTAGCACCAATTGAAGAAAAACTTATCCAACACCGGTTGAGATGGTGTGGACATGTCCAACGGAGACCTCCAGAGGCACCGGTGCATAGTGGAATCCTAAGCCAGGATAGTAACGTGAAGAGAGGCAGAGAAAGACCGAAGTTGATTTGGGTAGAGACAATAAAATGAGACTTGAAATGATAGAATATACCCAAAGATTTAGCCTTAGATAGGAGTGCTTGGAAGACAGCTATTCACGTGCCTGAACCTTGATTGCTTCTGCTGGATTTCAACTCTAGCCTACTCTAACTCGTTTGGGATTTAAAGGCTTTTTATTGTTGTCGTCGTAGTCGTCGTTGATGATGCAAATGCAGATATGCAATGAAATCATGGTCATGATCCATCGGCACACCTAACGCCCATTCACACTGCTGACAATCTCAAAAACACACTAGTTTAATCACGTTTTGTTTAGTTTTACCCTAACTTCTAAAAAGTTGCTACAGTATCTGTCACATCGAATGTTTGCGGCCCGTGCATGGAGCATTAAATGTAGACGAAAAGAAAAACTAATTGCACAGTTTGGTGGGAAATTGCGAGACGAACGTTTTGAGCCTAATTAGTCCATATTTGAACACTATTTACCAAATAAAAACGAAGGTTCTTCAGTAGTCCCAAAATCCAAATTTTGTGAACTAAACAGGGCTCAGTCTACATTTTGCGTTCAGATCAGAAACACATTATGGCACTGGCGTGTTCATGTTCACTCTAGCTGTGATGAATTTAATTTGACACAAGTCGCTACAAATGCAACGCCTGTTTAGATGCCATCCAAATTCCAAGTTTTTTCACTCTCTCTATCACATCAATTTTTAGCCGCTTGTATAGAGTATTAAATGTAGGTAAAAAAATAACTAATTACACAGTTTAGTTAAAAATCACGAGATGAATCTTTTGAGCCTAGTTGGTCCACGGTTGGACAATATTTGCCAAATAAAACGAAAGTGGTACTATTTATCGGGTTCACTTTTTTTTTTTTAGTGAACGAGGCCCAAATGTGCAATAATAATGAAATGCAACCGCTTTGCCTATTCTTCTGCGAGAAGGAAGGCAGCAGCCAGCAGGTGGGGTGCGGCCCTTTCAAAAGGCGAGCGAGGGCCGAAAGCCGGCAGCTGCTCTGCTCTCCTGCCCCCACGCCCCGCCCGCTCACGCCTTCCTCGCCCACGCCACCAGACGAACCACCACCTCGCCTCGCCGGCGCCACAGGCCACAGCACAGCACCCCATATGGCCGGCGGCGACGACTCCGAGGACCACGCCGCCGAGGCCCAGGCGCAACGCGCCCCGGACCCCTTCCTCCGCTTCCTCATCCCGGCCCCCAAGCCGCGCCGGGCCGCGCCCACCGCGCTTCTCCAGCCGCCGCACCGCCTCATCGCGCCGCCGGCCCCGGTCCCGCCGGCGCTGCTGCTGCGCCCCGAGGAGCGCCTCTTCATCGTCCCGCCCAGGCGCCCCGACTGGCTCCCGCCTCCTCCCCGCAGTTACCATTCTCCCTCCTCCTCGCCGGGGCCGGGCGCGGTGGTGGTGCGCCCCCCGCCGCCGCCGCCTTCTTCCCGCCGTTACCATTTTTCTTCCGCCTCGCCGGGCGCGGCAGTGCGCCCGCGGCCGCGGCCGCCCTTCCCGCCGTCGAACGACCCCAGAGCGCGCAATGCGGGCCGCTTCGCTCAGTTCGCTGGTGGGCATGTGAACGGCGCGAGGGACAGGAGGAGCCCCGTCCCGCTCCCGCACGACGGCGGAGCCCGCTTCCTCCCCGTCGCACTCCCGCACGACGGTGGTTTCCAGAGGCCCAAGGCGACGGCGGCGCCGCACAAGGAGAAGGAGAAGAAGAAGAAGGCGTGGGTCGCCGTGCAGAGGAAGGCCGAGGGTGGTGCCGGTGACAAGGATCGCGCGGCGCTCAGCGAAGGCTACTCCGGCGGGGACGAGGGGGGCGCTGAAGCCGAGGACGTACTCCAACCGGAGGGCGATGGCGAGCAGCAGGAGGAGGACGACGGTAACCGTCGCCTGCTTCTCAGTGACCAGCAAGACGACGACGTGAAGCGTCCTCTGCCCACGGATGGTATTCAGGACTGTTCCCCCCGCGCCGGCGGCGGTGATCGGCCAAGCGAGGTACGAGAAATCAACAAAATTTCGACAATGGCAGTTGAAATGCAATCCATTCATCGGAGCAATCACATTTTCTGAAACGCTGGCATTTGCTTCTGTTCATCTCTTCTCAGGTCACGCCTCGGCCGAATCAAGTTCCAGGCCTGCAGGGTAGAACTCGCAGGCCACCGGCGGAATGCCGCCACGACATCGACGCCTTCACTCCTGGCTTGCTCGCGCTCTACGAGTCTCTGAAGCCATCGGAAGAGCACATGTCCAAGCAGAAACAGCTTGTCGACTCCCTCGCCAAGTCTGTCAGCAAGGAGTGGCCCAATGCTCAGATGCATCTCTACGGATCGTGCGCCAATTCGTTTGGAACGTCGCATAGCGACGTGGATGTCTGTCTCGAGATGGAAATCGGCACCGAGGGCGCGGTTGAGGTTCTTCTGAGATTGGCAGATGTGTTGAGGACCGACGGTTTCGAGAACGTGGAGGTAAATCCTTCCTTGAGTTTTGCAACTGAATTATACATTGTTTGTCTATATTTCTAAAGTCTCATCAAAGTTTTACACCTGAGTGGTTATGTGCATGGTTTGTCCATCTCTTGACTTGAGTTCAATACTTACTGCATATATCATCATCTTTGAAATATAAGACTTGTCTTCTCTGCCTCTGCCTGATTGACTATTGGTTCATGCTGTTCCTCTCGGTATTTGATAATTGTACTTTGAAATTCATGTAGGCAATTACCGGTGCTAGAGTTCCGATTGTAAGGATGTCCGATCCAGGAAGTGGTTTCTCCTGTGACATATGCATCAACAATCTCCTCGCTGTTGCCAACACCAAGCTCCTCAAAGATTATGCTCAGATAGATCAGAGGTTACCTCAGCTGGCCTTTCTTGTGAAGCATTGGGCCAAACAGAGAGCCGTGAATGAAACATACCGTGGAACGCTCTCTAGCTATGCGTGAGTAAAAATTATGTATACTACATTCATATTTCCCTCTTGTTCTCGCCGTCGTGCAATTTTCTTTACAAATCTGGGTTCTGATCTTTTTTTTTACATGAACCTACAGGTATGTTCTTATGTGCATTAGCTTCTTGCAGCAACGCGAGCCAAAGATTCTACCATGCCTTCAGGTTTTTTTCTACCCAATTTTGTGGAATTCATTATTTTCCAACTATTATTTCTATATTTTAGAATACTCCAATTAAGATCACTCGTCAATTCTCCCTGCATTTGGTTCATGGTGCTAATGTAGGTAAAGCAGCCAGTTTTTTGGAATTTCAAGCCCTTTGATTTATTTTTATTTTATTTTCATTTGATGGTGGAGTGCTATGGTCCGGGATTTGCACAGTTTCACACTCCATATGATTGCTTCTTTTCGGATGTCTAGCTCATCCTTCCACTATGGTTGGTTGTTTTCTCTTTTTTCCCCAACTTAGATTTTTTTTCTTTTTCAGTTATACATGTGATTCAACTAGAACTGTGAAGTTCATTTATTTAGGATTAAAATGGCTCACCAAATTTCATCCCCAACACACATGTCATATTATGAGCCTCATGCTTTGCACTTGTTTGTCAATTTTGTACAACTAGGGTGAGTCTAAACGTCCATGTACAACTCTTCTGATCCCCTAGGACACCGCTAAGGCGTGTTGTATTAAACTTTTTCTTTACCTTAATACAAAGACGTGCAAACCTTTTGCGTGATCGAGAATTTTGTCATGATGCAATGCAACCAAAAAATTTCTGCAGGCCATGGAACCAACGTACGCCTTGACTGTTGACGGCACTGAATGCGCCTACTTCGACAAAATTGACCAACTCCAAGGTTTTGGCGCTGACAACAAGGCCAGCATTGCTGAATTGCTGTGGGGGTTCTTCCACTATTGGGCATCCCAGCACCACTACAAGCGCGACGTCATCTCCGTCCGCTTGGGGAAGACGATCAGGTAATGATGATGATATCAAGACTCGATTGTCTTTTCCAAACCACAAACTTTGAGCAAACATTCGATTCCGCTGAAATTTTATGCAACTTTTAGGTTTCAGATAATTTTATTTATATTATAGGCTCGTTTTGTTAAATCTTAGCTTGTGACTTGTTGTGGAATGCCAGCAAGCAGGAGAAGAGCTGGACGACTCGCGTTGGGAACGACCGCCATCTGATGTGCATCGAGGATCCGTTCGAGATCGGCCATGATCTGGGCCGTGTGGTCGACCGGCAGACGATCAGGATCCTCAGGGAGGAGATGGAGCGAGCCGCCGCCGTGCTGCAGTACGACGACGACCCCTGCGTCACTCTGTTCGAGCCCTACGGTGATGAAAACTGTTTAATTGATTGATCGGCATGTGAACTGAGAACACCCGGTTGCTGCTGCTTAGACAGTTCTAGCAGTGCAGAAAAAAATGTTGATGTCTTAGATGACAGTCGTCTGAACTGCGCATAAATAAGGCTTCAGATGATAGTGATGATAGGAAAGTAGAAATTGTATCAAGTGCATTTAGTTGCCACAAGAATTGTGCAGGCAGCAACAGTTCACTGTCGCCATCACTTCTGCACTTGCACGTCGTATGCTTTGAACACTTTGGGAGAAAAAAAGAAGCAGCAAAACCTCGAAGCTGGCTTGTACAGTTGTACTGTACCGAGTTATAATTGGAAAGGATCTACTACATTTTTGCGATCCCACTTTCCATGTTTTCTAGACAACTTCAATAATAGCATTAACCTTCTCGTAATTCTTGACAGTTAACAAGAAAGAAATTGAGCACTCTGCAAGCGCTCACTTAACTCCATTCTACGGGTGCGAAGTGTTGGAAAGCGTGGCCACTACTACGAGGTATAATTCCTAGGACAAAGGGAAGTTAACACCCTGAGGCTACGACCTATGTAGCCTTGATCCCCTGGCTAGTATCCGCTCCTGCACATCCCCCTAACAGAGGCATAGAGCTTAGGCCGGCTGACCAAGCCCTTGTTTAGGTCCACCCTAACTTTCAAAAATTTGCTACAGTACCTGTCACGTCGAATATTTACGGCCCGTGCATGGAGCATTAAATATAGACGAAAAGAAAAACTAATTACATAGTTTGGTAAGAAATTACGAGACTACCGTTTTGAGCCTAATTAGTCCATGTTTGAACACTATTTGCCAAATAAAAACGAACATGCTACAATAGTTCTAAAATCCAAATTCCTACAACTAAACACAGCCCAACTTTCTGTACGAAAGAGTGCACAAATGACCTTTCCACGGTTTTGTGACTCCTTTTGCATCTTCATATTTCCAGGTTTTTGTGGCTCATTTTTTACATCTTCATCATCCCACCTCTTCTGATGGTACATCTTCACGTCGCTTTTGCCTCGATGTACTCAGCCTGGTTAAAGTTTTTGTTGAACAGCATGCCCGTTGGAGAAATAAGTCGTAGCAAAGCACTTCCGAACCGACTCTGGAATGACAACATTGTTCAGGTTAGGACTAGTTATTATGACAGTACGTGCTAAATGTAAGGTATTCGTATTCAACATATAGAAATGGCCATACCCACTGAAACAAGACAAGAATCCACCAGCATCCTGGCAAGCTACCTTTGTTGCGGAGAAGCTTTCAAGATGAAACAAGAAAAGAAAATTCATCATTGTCAGAAAGCCTTTCAGATTTCAAACCAAGGACTTGGGACTCTCCCTAGTTTACTTGCTGGGTAGCCAATCTCAGCCTTTGACAAGTGGCACCATTCAAAAAGTGAGGGTAGACAGTAAACTGCATTCTTATCATTGACAGTTTAGATCTCAAATTCATTAAAGGCCTGGTCCTCTCTTTAATTGTAGAACAAATTCATGTGGTCTCCCAGCAATGAGTTGAATGAAGAACAGAAGAGGAGAAGAAATAGGCATACCATCAAGAGAAGGGTTCCAATGGAAAAGCAGACACCCATTGATTGACTCAAATATCTCAAATCCCTTCCAGCCTAAAATAGGACGAAAAAAACAAATAGATGTCAGTACATCGTCCATCAAATGGTAGGCAAGCATATGCTTGCCTTACAGATATACTACTACCATGTCATAAATGTTGAAGATTGTTCCCCTTACTATACTGCAACTGCTATGTGTTTTTGTCTGGAAATAGTACAGAGAGCTCTATTGGTCTGCTGCTTATTGCAAAAGCAATCCAAGCATGCAGAGTAATGTGGCATGGTGTATTTGGTTTGTGCCCAGAACAACCACTGAAAAATTTAGGTAGCCCCAGGAGTTTGGATGATTGCCAAAATTTAGCACAAGTCCATGGCTTATGGTTCATATTCCATGCATTTTCCTGCAAACGCTTGGCCAAATGCATGTCAAACCAAAAGCTCGAATAAAATTATTGCTAAAGTTTGGCAGGGCTAATTTGGGTACAAATCAAACAAGTTTAGTCAACCAGTGTAATTTACATGAGAATCGGTGTGTCAGATAAATGAAATAAAAAAGATTATCAGCTTACCAATAGCGTTCCCTCGAGGCAGTGTATTGAAGGAGTCACCAGCAATACACTGAAATACGGAGCCAGTACTCGGTGCATCTGTTGACAATATAATCCATTGATAGAAACTAGTGCCTAGTGGTGAAGCAAGAATAATATAAAAAAAAATCTAAAGCAATGTATCAGACCTGCTGGACGACCATTTGGTCATTGGTAAAGACACTGGGGAAAAGCCATGGAACAAGTGTCCCTACTGCCCCCAAAGTCAACCCAGTTATCGCTCCAATGATCACAAGTGACTTCAATAGCATCCTTGCCTATATTAAAAAGTTTGCTTTAGGATCTTTCAAAGTAATGAACAAAGTGTTCATATGGTTTTACTACAGGGAAAAGGAAGACCTGTGAAAATACACTTCCATACAAAGCATAGTACGTTTGCTGATAAACTAACTGCTTAGGAGAGGCTAACTGTATCATTGATTCACTGGGTGTAATGAGTTCCATTTAGCTGAACCATATGAAATAAGATTCATAGTTGCACATGGACACACGATCATGAAATGACACATTGCTATCAATGCCAGTAAGGGTGAAAATTTTGTTATCTGCATAAATTCGAACACAGTAATCAATAGGTACCTTGGTCAAATTCTGATTAGCACCATATATCAGCTCAGGCATGAATGACTGTGCAGTTTGAGACAGAGGCTCGCCCCAAACAGTACACATGCACAAGACATTGATCATAACCTTCAAAAGAATTAAGTAAATGGAACATTTGTCAAAATACCTTTTTATAAATATTCCCTCGCGAGCAATCATTTCATGAGTTACAAAGTACGAACCTGATGGGCTGCAAGAGTTATTGCTCCCATAGAAGTCGCAGAATATGTTAGCAATGCATAAAACGCCACCTACAGAAAATTTTGAAATAATTCATTACAGTGACACAAGGAAAGGATGCAAGATTGCCAGACCTGAAAATGTTACCTTGGACGTCATTGTCACAAAAACAGGAGCTGCAATTTCAAATATCTGCAATAGCTCTCTTACAGATGGAATCGTAAATGAGAAAGCTCGAAAACCCTTATTGCTTAGATTTTGCATCATCATGAAAGCTGCAACAGCCTGATAGTGTGTCAAAAAAATAGCCACTCTAGAAAACAATTGAATAGTCAATCATGAAGAAAGAGGAAAAAACTTGCTGATAAGCAATGTAGTTTCCGATATCAATATGAACCACATAGGCTTCTGAAATGGAGTGAAAAAGAAAAAACTTTTACTAATGTGTGTTCCACTTATGAGCAAGTCGGATGATGTGCTTATTAAGCTAAATAGTGGGTGATCAACAGCTCTGTGGAATCATTCTCACTTGCTCACTGCTTATTAAGCTACACAACGGATGATCAACAACTTTGTCATGCTCAAGTTGTTACATTCTTGTTGGGATGTGGCCTGCCTGGGCCAAGCCTATGGCATAGCAAGAAGAAAGAATCATCTTTCTAATTCTTGCTTGCCCCTCATTGATTATCTCATTTCCCTTAAATTGAGAGGAGCATCCTTCCATAGATACAAACCATTCTTTTCAAGTTCTTGTGTGCCCCTCATTGATTATATCCTTTCCCTTAAATTGGGATGAGTATCCTTCCATAGGTACAAACCATTCTTTTTCAACTAAACTAATCAAAAACTTCATTATCTCTCAATTTCTAGCATAATGTGCAAAGATGGCATAACAAGTCCTTCTACCTTAAAAAACATTCTCAAACATGCCTTCCTTAAAAATAGAGAGGAGTGCCATATAACAAGTTAAAAGTGACATCAAGGAGAAGTCACATGGTGATTAGGAAAGTGTCAAGTGTGTCTGTACCTGTGAAACCATAGTTGCCCAGGCAGCACCAGCAATTCCATAGCCACAAACAGAGCAAAGAAATATATCTCCAACACCATTTATAACACTAGCAGCTGCCAACGCCTTCAAAGGACCCCAAGAATCCTTCATGCCCAGACTGAGTTATAACAAACACACTATATAATATAAGAGAAGCATCGAATCAAGAATAGTTGTAGTATAAAAGACTAATGGTGTGTTTGGTTTGAGGAACCATTGCATCCCAGATGAGGTGGTCCATCATGAATCTGTTCCTTAAATTAGGTGGAATGACTCCATTCCTCATACTAGTACTAATTATTAGCCTGTGAGGAATGAGGTGATGATGCATCACCATATTCCATTCCAAAAACCAAACAAAAAAAGTGAGGAATCATTCCTCAAACCAAACACAACCTATGTGTTTATTACTATCTGAACCATTGTATTCATGTAAGCGTGTAGCAGTGTAGCCCATGTCTGTCTATTCGTGGCAATACGAAGAATAGGTGATTACAAGTGATGACTATTCTTGAAAGTACAAGTGTCAAACTCAAAGAGATGCCAACCAGTGTTCAACTAGTTCTCACCTCACTGGAGCTCTTGAGACTTATATCGAGGTTTTCAATGCTCTACTGCAAATCCGCAATAATAACATTAAAAGGCAAGTAGGGATCTCGACTGGAGATATAACTTTTAGGTCTCATTCAAAATTCCGCATCATGACTTGGATTAACTTTTAGCATATTTTCTTTTGTAGTAAATTTACTTTTCAAATCCGAATAACACAAGCTGTAGTTTGACAAAGCAAGAAACATGGGACAAATCTAGCAGGTACAAAATAGAAGAACTACTAAATTATATCCAATAAATAAGAGAAAGAGAATGGGCACAACAAGTACCTAGCACTTTGAGCAACTAAGCCAACAAGAACTGCAGGCCATGCAAAGCCTCTTATCTGAAAGCAAATATACATATTGATATATGTTACTGCACACAAAAAGGAAAGGTTAACTCTATACCCTATAATATCATGTCGACTTCATATGCAGGATTTTTTGTGTAGCATGCCTTCCTTTTTTGTCTGCTTCCCACTCTCATGCACAAGCCTCTGAGGTTTTATTCATCATACAACATAAAACTGAACTTTGAACCATATCCACTTATACTATTGATCCCTTTTACTGCTAATGCTCAATAAAAGAAAACTCAAAACCACAAGATGCTAGCTTTACCCAGGAATATTTCCTTTCCTATCAATTAAATTGGGGCGATACCGCGATAATATTGCAGAGAGAAATGTTGAACTATAGTTACCTGTGCATATGTATTGGCCGAAGAAATAAGTTCATAATTCCCAGATCCAGTAAAAGCTGCAGAGGGGAAAAAAAAGGAAAGAAGTTATAATATTTATATAGTTAATAAAGCAATGTATCATGAGGAGCAAGAAACTATATGCCAAAGAATAAACTGACAGGACTAATTCAAATGTGTCTTGTACTTTCTAGATTCTAACAAAATGTTCTAATCTGACAATCGATTTAAAATAAGATCAGTAGTAAAGATAAAAGAAGCACATAATCCCTATTCGCATGCTTAGTTGGTTGAGTCTAGGACAGGGCAGCAAAGCAGAAAATGAGATAACACAGTGTGAAAAATAAGCCATCAGTTTTTTTTTATTAGAAAATACAGAAACGATCAGCACTTCCAAGGAAGTATGAAAAACAAGATGATAGTTGCAGGTTCACAGAATACTTTTCTGTAGAGTCTTACCAGTCAATACTTGAGTACCAAACACCTTGGTGAACAAAAACATTCCTATGCCACAAGCAAGAGCAAGAAACAGTAACATAGACACTTGATGTTGTGCAAGTTCTTCATCCTGTGTAAGGTAACTGCAAGCAGATTAGATAACCGATACAGCAAGAATGCAAAATCCAAGAAGGCGATTGGCATTCGACACACTGTTAAAGACTACTCACAAGCACTGAGCACACAAAGTAGGAGCATAACAATGTTACCAAGTAACAAAATTCTTGCCATGAAACAAGCATTCACTGCCAGGTAGTATCCTATGTATGCCGTGGTGCGAAGTTCAATATTCTTCATAGTAAACCAAATGTACAGTCAGATGCTCATGTGGAGAGGGGCAAACTTATATCAAAATAGGTAGCCATGTAACTCTACTTTGGCAAGAACTTTAAGTGGGTAAAAAACGACAAACAGAAGTATTGGTCGTAGCTAAGGTGATATCCTCTTCGGCTGACAGAGTGGACCACAAACTGTTCTTCAAACAAGCTAAGTTGCTAACACAGAAGAGCAGTACATATCACTATATCAGATAGAATTAGATAGGGGATGCACCTTTTTGGCTAAGGAGGTGGCCACCATGTTCGATGTTGCGACCGAAAGGAACATGAATATATAGCTTAGGTAGTCGCAGAACACTGTCCCGGGCCCTGAAAAGGAAGGAGAGCAAAACCAAACAAAAATAAGAAGAATACATTGAGCACTTGAGCTGCCAGTCCTGTGAGACAGAGCTATTTTGCGAATTTACAGATGGAGCTATTTTGCAAAGCTATGGACATCATATATGAATTAAGATATGTATGAGGCGCGTAATCACCGCGTCTCAGCGATTAGCTCGCTACGAGAAAAAAACACAGAAAGTAATGTGCAGAATTCAGCTAGAGAAACGTTTGTGTTCGGGGTTGGATGACGAAGAGCCGCTGGGCTGTCTGTCACAACTCACAGTTTTGCAGGGCGATGCTTGTAAGGAGAAGATGGACGACAGAGCATAGGAAGGGAGGAGGGCGAACCTAGCGCGGCGAGCTGGAGCGCGGAGGTCTGGCCGATGACCATGGTGTCGATGAGGCTCATGAGCGGGCCGCAGATCCAGAGCCCCAGCGCGGGGCCGGCGAACACAACGATGTCCCGCACCTGCTCCCATATCCCCGCCCCCGCCGCCGCATCGCCGTCGCCGTCGCCGCCGTCCTCGCCCGCGCAGCGGACGGCGCGGGCGAAGCGCGCCTGGCTGCCTCCGAGCCGCGGCGGCCGCAGCAGCAGCAGCAGCCGGAGGCGGGCCGCGGGGGGAGGACGAGGAGGAGGAGGGCCAGGGAGGCGGAGGCGGTGGAGGGAGGTGGGCGCGGAGACGGGGGCGGGCGGGCGGTGGGCGGCCGAGAGTAGGCGGAGGTGCGCGGACATGGCTGCGTGCGTGCGCGCGCCGCCGGCCGCCTTACGCGCCCGTCGTCGTAGCCTCGTAGGGGAGGGAGGAGACTCGGAGTCGGAGTAGCGTAGTGGTGGTTCGCTGGAGCGGAGCGCTCGCCCCTTGTTCCCCTTGTGCTGCTGCTGCTGCGGCGGCGGCGTCTCAAGGCAAGGTAGGTCCGCCGCCGAAATGGTGTGGGACGCCACGGCCCACGGGTGGGCGCGACGGCGGCGGCGGTAACTGGTAAGGTTTGACGTGCACGTGCTGCTCTGCTCCCTCCGGATCGTGTGGAAGGGAATGGGACTAGCCGGGGTGCGAGCAGGAGCAGAGCAGCCAGCCGCCGTTGCTGTCGCTGTAGCTCAAACTGCTGTGCACAAGAAAGTGCAGAGGACGCGTATCTATAGCATTGTACTGTACGCATACGCCAAGGACATGTACGTGTACGGGTATCCCTCGCTGGTTCTCATCCGGTCACCCCTCGTTCTCCTCGCTTAGTTCTAAACTTTCTTAACCAAATTTCGTCCTAGTTCGTAAATAAATAAGGTAAAATTACGGAGCTTGCAAAGTTGCAATGCGCTGAGCATTTTTTGTCAAAATTCCAGAACGGAAATTCATCCTCATTGAATGATTGGCGTACTGATACGGTGTCTCCTCAGGGTACGTTGCTGAAGTCAACGAACAATATTTTTCTCTCTCAACAAATCAGCCAACAGTACTTTCAGCCATGGCTTATCAGCCAAACGAACAGAGCAATAAACCAAATGGTTGGTCAGAAACTTTCGATCGTAACAGATAAACCGCAAACGACAAGACATCGCATTCTTGGTATATGTTCTGAACCAGAGTACCAGGTATCAGAATTTAGTTCAGTTCAATGCAAACGAAGGTCCTCGCAAGTTTCTGGTCCCATTTATCATCAAGGGGATCATGCTGCTTAATCTGAGTTATCATTTAGTTTGCAGATTATACTTTATGACACTCCTGGTGTTATTAAAAAGGAGATGCATAAGCTGGACAGTATGATGATGAAGAATGTTAGGAGCGCTATTGGCAGTGCTGACTGTGTGCTTGTTGCTGATGCTTGCAAAGCACCTGAAAAGGTAAGGTATTGCCAGCAGTATGAAAGAAAGTATAAATCCGTCCTGACATTCAACCGTTTTACCTTACATCTTGCAAGCTTTGAGCTTTTAGATTGATGAAATGCTTGTAGAAGGAGTGGGAAACAAAGATGTTGGACTTCCTGTACTGCTGGTATTGAACAAGAAAGATCTCATAAAACCAGGAGAAATTGCAAAGAAACTTGAGGTACGAACCTGATACAGTTGTTGAAAGGTGTTTCCCTGTTTCATTGGTTTTGATTTCTGGACAACCCTTTTGACAGTGGTACCAAAAATTTACTAATGTTGATGACGTTATACCAATAAGTGCCAAATTTGGTAATGGGGTGGATGATATCAAGGAGTGGATATTGTCAAAGCTCCCTCTGGGTCCTGCTTACTACCGCAAGGTATCAGCAAAAGATCATTCATATTTTTCTAATGGCATCTCCCCTGTGCTTTGTTTACCTTTAAATGTCATTGTCTGTCCTCGTATATTATAAACAGAGATAGTCAGGCTCAGACGCTCAGAACATTTTAGTAAATATTTTTGTCTGTGTGGTAAAGAGTGTGCTCCTGAATATCATTATAGTTGAACTTGATGTGCCCATTCCAATGTTGAGGGGCCGTTCGGCTGGTAATACCAGCCGGAATTCACTGTGCTGAGCTGAAATTCACTGTTCACGCTCTCACAAATTCCTTCAGATTCCTCCAAATTCCTCCGAGCGAACAGGGCCTGAATTCGACAAATCTTGTGTAAATCTTAGTTTGATGGATGGAGGCATTGGCAAATCATCTTTTTGCAGATGGCATAGTAGTTTGCCTTTTTCCAGTATTGGTGAACTGAACAGCGTGAACTTGAAACCGCTAATGTATGAACTAGCACGAAATGGTTACTATTTTCCTGCTAGGCTGCTACAAATCAGTTGCGAAGAAATATTTTCTCGAAAGCCAGAGAATAGGAACTTTCCCGACATATTTTTACTTCGTCTATATGATGATAAATAATAGGTTTACACCCTTTTAGTACATTGTTATCACCCGCTTTGTTGCTCTGTGGTTTCTCTCTCTTAAAAGAGCATATGCTCTGTAATATGATTCCTCAGTTGGACCCTTTTTTTTTTGTTAGATGCTGTACCACATGAGATGATTTGAGATTAACAGAGCACGTGGTTCACCATGTTTCAGGATATAGCTAGTGAACACCCAGAGAGATTATTTTGTTGGTGAAATAGTGAGGGAAAAGATTTTTGTTCAATACAGGCAGGAAATTCCTTATTCGTGCCAGGTATATCTTCTGGTGTTTTCCCTAACAGCTTGATGCAGCATATTCTCCATCTTGATATTCTTTATTTCTAATATGTCATTTTTTTTGTGACAGGTTAATGTTGTCAGTTACAAAAGTAGGCCTAGTGCCAAGGACTTCATTCAAGTTGAGATACTTGTTGAGAAAGAATCACAAATAAGCATTATACTAGGAAAGGTAAAAAAAAAGTTAAGAATACCATAATTATACATGATGTGGGCTGGAAATTTAAAAATACATACATGAGATAGAAATTAGAAATTTTTTCAATCTAAGATTAAATCTATTATAAAAAAAGGAAATAGGCCATGAATTCCCCCCGGTCCCCGGTCTGTGTTGTCTAATAGCAAAATATTCCCTTAACATGTCTGATCGATGCAGGATGGCAAAGCCATAAAGATGTTGGCAACCGCATCAAGGCTTGACATTGAGGATTTCCTACAAAAGAAAGTCTACCTTGAGGTTACATCTTCTTCACTTGTTATGTGGTTGCTGTGGACTTTGCCATCTCCTGCTGCAATGCGACTATCGTGGAGAAGTTCCTTGTCTTCTAACAGTAATCCGTGACTCCCTCCTTGTACAGATAGAGGTCAAAGTGAAGGAAAACTGGCAGCAAGACGAGCGACATCTGAAGCGGTATGGCTACGGCAGCGAGATTCAAGCACTGTGACTATGACCGATGCGCTATCACTACAGCCAAGGAGGAGAGGGGGCAGCAGGCCCACTACGGCCAGGACGCCAGTGTCAGAGACATCGGCCCTTACAAGAACCTCGTCAGGTTCACCTCCAGCTCCTTCAATCTCACAGCTTCACAGGCTTCTCAGCCTCGACCCTGCTAACCAAGCTGAGCACTGCAGCATGTGGACTTGCGGCCTCTGAATCACGACCAGAAGCTGGCACTGTGGCTCAGCTCAACGTCTACAACCCTGCATCATGCATGTACTTCTGTGTCTGTCTCCTTCAATTCATCTGCACTACAAATACTTGTTCAGTTTCAGTCAGAGATTCCTTTTGTGTCCATTTCGACTAATGCAGTAGTTGAATGCCATAACTCTATTCCACATGAAGGGGATTCTGCAGCATGGTTTGCCCTTAAACTCAAATAAACAGATTGTACCATTTCTTATTCAGCTTGTGTTTAAATCCATAGAGTAAAGTTTAGGGATGTCATATTGAGTGTCACATTGGAGTGTTCAGATAGTAATAATAAAACAAATTACAGAAGTCCTCAGTAATCCGCGAGACGAATTTATTAAGCCTAATTAAACCGCCATTAGCACATGTTTACTGTAGCACCACATTGTCAAATTATGGACTAATTAGGCTTAAAAAATTCGTCTCGCAAATTAGTCATAATCTGTACAATTAATTATTTTTTAGTCTATATTTAATACTTCGTACATGTGTCAAACATCCAATGTAACAGGGAGTAAACTTTAGGTGGGAGAACTAAACAAGGCCTGGTTACATTAAACCCATTGTGTAAAATGAATTATATTCAACTATTAGATAAAATGGTCTTAAATAACATATTGAATGCTGATAGTAGACACTTGATCCTAAACAAAGCACAATTCCAATATTCGAATCTCCTGGTATGTCATTGTCCTTGTGCGCCAAGTTTTTGCCTTCCTGCACAGAAAAGGGAAAAAAATTGCAATGAGATTTAGTGCTGGAATTAGGCAGCAAGAGTACAATTGTACAGAGAATTTTCATGCCTACCCACTCCAAGATCTTCAATTTGGTTTAGTTCGCCAAAGAATGGACGGTATAACTTTTATTCGAGATTTTCCTGTGACACGGAATTGAATAAGTTGTATGGCTATATGGAAACATAATCTATACCAATATGTAGAAAATGAGAACTATTCCTGCTGCATCGCCTATAAAACAGACATTGCTGAAGCTGTAGAGCTCCTTGTTGATGGGGATGGCTGCAAGGGCCGACAATTTGGTATTTTCATTGAGGGTGGACTGTAATTTCTAACTTTGATATGCTTCACGATATCTGATTCAAAACCTTCCAGATATCTAATTCTCTATTGGGGCCAAACCCCTAGCTAAATCTGCAAGGCCCTCCTGGAGTCTCTCTCCCCTTTCTTCTCCCTTTGTTTCCAAACTTTTCTTACCTTCCATTAGTGAGTTCGAGCGTCCAGCCAGGCTGCCAGCAACAATCAGATGCAGCCAAGCAATTCGAAATTCACAAACTGGGGCTGTTGGAGTGGTTATAAATTCACAATAACTGGGGCAGTTGGAGTGGTTAGTGGATCACACACAATCTCCAAAAACAACGGACAGTCATACAACTCGAAACAAACACAAGCGAGACACCCTCCAGGGATTACTTGCATGACTCACGCAGTACAAGGTACTATAGTACAGTTGGCAAAAAATAAATATGCAAACTTAAAAGAGAAAACAAAAGGTTGAAGGATAAGAAAACACCTGTGGATCCAGACCACAAGTGCTCTTCTTATCCTGCAGAGTCAAAAATCATCCTCAAATAGATAGTGCATGTTCCATGCAATAGTTTCCCGTGTCCAGGAGCCTATGGAGTGCCAGCTATGCCGCAAACTCTAGTGATATATAATCTCTGCTTGCCAAAGGTATACATGACGGTAACCTACTCTCCCTCCCAGTCAAATCACATGAAGTCGTACTCGTCCGGATCATCATAGCCACCACCCCGTCCGGGGATGAAGTCATCATCTCCTTTCTCGATGTGGAGTTGCTTCTTTTTCGCTCCTGCCAAAGAATTCCATTTAGTATCAACACCAGTGATCATGATGGTTACTAGATCTGGCTACAAAACATGAACACCTAGAGGTTCCTTGACAGTTGAAGCTCGTTACCTTGTTTCTTTTTGCCTGCTGCAGCCTCTTTCTCAGCCTTGATCTTCTCGTTAGCAATTGCAGTCACGGAGGAAGATATTTCTTTCGCGTCCGCACCTTTCAGCGATGTCATGGAAAGTCTCATGACATTCTTAAGGAGAGCCATGTAGTGAAAGCTTTTCTGCAAATGCAAACATGAAACCAACAAGGTCAGATATATCCTGCCGAAAAAGGGTGCAAAACCCGAGACATGCAGCTTTGACAATGTTATTAACATACCTCATAGGGGCATAGTTTATTTGCAATAAGCTCCGCGTATTCCACAAAGTCACTCTCAGACTTCGGGATAAAAGTATCTAGTGACTTTTGTTCACCGCCTTTCTTTGCAAAAAGTTCTGTGGTTGACTTGAAGTCAGCTTCTTCCACAAGCCTGTAGCAAATAAACATTGTAACCATGCAAAAACCAGAGCTTCTTCCACCAGCAGCATCACATGGTTAAATTTGGATGCAAAGTACCAAAAATAACAGGCCATAAAAGCTCCATATACCTTTGTTGGCGAATTTTCTCTGAAGTGGGACTAAGAGGGGGCTCATCTGGTTCTTCAGCACTTGTTGATGCTTGCTGTTTTCCCTTTTTAGCAGGAGCCTTAGTGCTAGGTTTCGCCGCGGCCTTTTCCACAGGCGCTGGCTTTGGTTTCTACAGGATGCAGTAAAACAAAATGACAGACAGCGTTCAATCAGTGACAATTCAATATTATTAACTTATATAAGTGGTTGGCATCCACAAACAATCATGCAACTGATAGTATGATGCTCATTGTTTTGCAAATCAACACCAGAAATAATCACAATGGCTTACAATCACTGAATAACATTTCTTTGGATGTTTATTTTTTAATGAGAAACAACATTTTACTGGGAAATTACATTGCATAATTCAAGCCCTTGAGGATAACTGTTTGAGCCATTCAACTACTCATATAATCAGCTAATTGAATGTTAGTATGCAAACAGAATGGTAGTGAACGAGAAATCACACCTACACTGCAAAGATGAAAGCATATAGAACAGAGCATATGCATCAAATATCTCCAAACAATTATTTTCCAACAACTAAGCAGTGGAAAAATAATAATAATTGACTAATGTTATCAGCATGCAGGCAATCGTGCTTATAACTGTTGCAACTACATAAAAATACAATTGTGATGTAAATAAAGAAGAGTGAATTTACTATTGCCTACATTAACAAAGGACCAAAGTTAAATAAAAGGATTTGTGTGATGCATCTATTAACAAATCATATATTTTCATTTACCTCCTCCTCCTCCTCTTCTTCCCATGATTCTTTTACATCATCTTCTTCAACATCTTCATCAGCCCACTGATTTTTAAGTGGCTCGACTTTCACAACAGAAGCAACTGGCTGGAAATCTTCAGAATCTGAAATGCAGTGTCGATTAGTTTCCATAACACAGACAATGCGTATGAAAGTGCCCTAATAAACCAACATTAGAACATGATACCTAAATTTAATAAACTAACATAATTGCGCAAAGCAACCCTGGCGAGTTTGTCACTGTATACTCGCTTCCTCTAAAAGCTAGGTTGAATAAGGACATTGCAAAATTAATCAGGCATGAAAAGGCGCCTAACACAGCAGTCAGCAGGAGCCTATAAGCGGTAATTACTTTAGATATCATGTTAATCCAATCAGAGCACTTGTCAAAAATACAGGCAAAGACTTTGGGAAAAGGATTACTGATTCACAATGGAGATCACTTTAACTAGCAGGAACAGATGCCAGAATCTTTAGCATTGGACACGGAACATCAAAAAAACTGTTATTCCATGATGCTATTCTTAGTTGAAAAGCTAAATTAGACCTATACAAGAGATGCATATGACTAGATATATCCATGTCACTATGTCAGTACTACACACAAAACATCCCAAACCCATGACCATTTGCCTAAAACGGAACGGATATCACCGCAGCTCACAAACAAATCCTAGAAACCATAATCCCAAAAACTAAGCCCAGGCAACCAGACCTAAACCGTATCGCGCGTGCCTAGGGTCCGTGGACTCCCTACTCTAGATTCGGAACCCGCAGTGGGACGGTGCGAGGCGAGGGACCCATCACGAACGGCGCATCAGAACACCGAACTACTCGCGTCGGGGAAGCACCTGCGCACAGATCGGGGAGTCGAAAGAGAGGGAGAGGGAGAGGGAGAAGGAGGCGCTCACCCCAGTCCTCCATCGTGGCTCCTGACGGTCTCGAGATCCGATCGCTTCGTCGGTGTCGGCGGCAGCGACGGCGGCGGCGGGGCGGCCGGTGCGCGGAGGGCCGGCGGTGGATAGGGTTTCCGCGGCCCTGGCGGCGGCGGCGGCGCGGGAGGGGAGGGCGGAAGCTTCTCGAGGGTTGTGGAACGGGGAGGGGAACCGAACAGATGAGTCGAGTCGAGTCGAGTCGCGCGCTCTGCTGTGCTCTGTGCTGGCTGCCGCTTTGGCTTTGCTCTGTCCCCTTCTGATGAGAATTCTGATCGCCCATTGGACGGCCACGATCTGCCATGATATAGGCCTTCGCACACGAAGGCGAGGCGGAAACGAACCCCCTTTTTTTCCCTCTTTTTTTTATAAAAAAATAAAATTCCGAGACGAAGTCGAAACGGAGCCTATTACAAGATAAAAATAAAAAACATTGCAGACTTATCTTCACAAAAAAAAATCAAGGCAGATACCATCTCATTTTCCTACCAATACAATGAGCATACACGACCTATAAGGGGACTTTTCACAAAAGTTGAGATGTGGTAAGCAGTGACCTTGTCTAAAA